ATTCCCCAGCCAGCATGGGGAATGCTGGGGAGTGCTGGCTGGGGAATTCTGGGAGTTGAAGTCCAGACATCTTAAAGTTGCCAAGGTTGAGAAACACTGGTCTAGATTGAGCCCTTGCCTCTCTGTTTGCATTGGGAAAAGTTTCCCTTGGATTGCATAGAAGCGTTTTTTCTATTCAGTTGGCTAGGGGACCTGATGTGGCAAAAGAGGAGAGAAGGAGGCCAAACTTTAAAGCCCTCTACCATCCATGTTATGCTCCCAAGATGCCTCCAAAGTATATGCCAACACAATTGCATGCATATTTCCATCAAAAGTTAGCAATGCAGACTGTTTATTGAATTATATTTACAACATGCTAAATTGTTCCACTGGGAACAGTTTTGTGAAATGCTTTCCCTTTTTAAAACAAAGCAATGGGTGCATGTTTTCATAAATATGTTTCCATCACTTACATTGTTTGTTAGCTGAAAAAGGAAAATTGAATTGAAACTGTTTGTTGGAGTGGGCTGAACTATTTTGGGTGCCAGTCAGTCAGTGCAGTGTAGGGGCAACATTTATTACAAGTTATATAGATGTGTTCATACAGTTTGATCCTTAAAATAAAACCACACTGTGGCTGTAATCCAAAGCACATGTATTTCTAAATAAGCTACATCAAACCTAACAGGATTTCTATCTTGTGGAAAGGATTGGGTTGATAGGCTATGACAGATGCATATGTTCCTGAGATTAATCCCACTGAGATTTGTGGTACTTACTTCCTACTAAGAGATTGCACTGAATTTTATATGTATGTCTAAATCTCTATCGTAAAAGCAGGCAGCTTGTTTGAAAAGTGGTTCGAAAAATATTGTTTCTGTGCAAAGTTTGATTATAAATTTTACTCGGAGTCCATTTTGAGTTTTATTAATTTTGGAAATAAGATTCACTGTCTGAACTTGGATTTTATTTATTTTTAATTTATTTACAAAATGTTTATACTGCCCTAATCAATTGACTCTGGGCATTTAACAATGAAAACATGAAATAAACAATCTGTGAATGAAAACTCACACCCTCTAACTGGTCTTATGTAACTTTAAAAAATGCCCTTTAGAGCTTTTTGGAATGCCAAGAATGAAGGAGCATGTTCTACATCACGGGGGCAACCTTGCAGAAGGTTTTCCTTCTAGTTCACATCCCTTGAGCAAGCCTCCCTCGCTGTTTAAAATAGGAAGGCAGAATCATTTTGGGCAAGGCAGTCCTTGATGAAACCCAGTGTTGTGTCATACAGGGCTTTGTGAGTTATACCCAATACTTTAAACTGGGTGCAGCATTGCAAAATAAGTGCTATTCTGAAATAGGAGATTCTACCCACCAGCAATCTGGCCACTACATTCTGCATGAGCTGTAGCTTCTGAGTTGTCTTCAAAGGCAGACTCACAGTGCACTGCAGTAGTCAAGATGTGGTGGTAAAGGCATGAATTATCCTCAACAAGGCTTGCTGCTCCAGGCGGAGAAATAATTGGTGCACCAGTCTCAGTTGGTCAAAGTGTCCCTGATCCACAGCTTCCACCTGCTCTTCCAACACTAGCTATGAGTCCAGAACAAGCCCCAATCACCACCACTGGTACCAGTGTTTCTGGAATGTCTAAATGTTTCTGGATGAACAATAGCTTTGTCTTGGGGTTAAGCTGAGCTTGCTTCCCCCCATTTAGTTGATAGATATACATTCTGAACTTTGCAGCTGTCTCTTGGGCTTTGTTTTGCTCTTACATCAGATTACCTGACCTACTTTTTAAATGTTTGATCTCATTCTGAGTCATGTGTTGTCTCTGCTTTATCTTCAACAGGGGAGTATTTGGAAAGCAGGGATACCAGTGCCAAGGTACAGTGACTTATTGTTATGGTTACATTATGCATTATACAATTGTCATTCTCTCCTTTCTACATCATCTGTTTAAAATGAATGGGAGATTAGGAAAAACACTTCTTAGTGGATCACTAAATATTTTAAAAATTTCTCTGCCTTTCAGTCCCTGAAGGGTTAGTTTCCAATCCTGACCTTCTTTGCACATGCCCCAGTTTGTGTGAATCCTTCTTAAAATATAGTGACCAGCCTTACATATGCTATTCAAAGTAGGGTTCAACCAATGCAAAATAGAGTAGATTTTTTCCTGTGATTTGGAAACTGTTTGTCTGTTAATGCAGTCTAAAAGTGCAGTTGATTTTTACAGCCATGTTACGTTGCTGACTCCTATTTAGCTTATGATAAACTACAACTCCAAGATCTTTTTCACAACTAATTTTATCAAACCAGGTCTTGCTCAATCTATGATTTCTTTTTCCTGGATAAAGATCTCTGTTAATTCCATTCTGTTGTTATTACCCCATTTCTCTAGCCTATCAAATTATGTTTGAATTTTCTTTCAGTCTTCTAGATTATCTTGTGTGTCTGTGTGTCCATGCCTTGAAGTCAGTGTTGACTCCTGGCGACTGCCTGGACTAGTCCCTGCAGTTTTCTTGGCAAGATTTTCAGAAGTGGTTTGCCATTGCCTTCTTCTTCCTAGCGTAGAGAGCACATGCCTGGCCCAAAGTAACCCAGTTGGCTTCCATGTCTAAGGCAAGACTAGAACTTTCAGACTCCAAGTTTCTAGCTTGTTGCTTTAACTACATCAAATTGACTTTCTCTAGATGATCTATTCCTTCTAATTGTGTAGCATCTGCAAATTTGATAAGCCTCCCTTATCCAAATTGTTAATTAAAATATTGAAAATCCCAGTCTCAGTCTGAACCAATCAATACCTCACTCTAGTTTGAGGAGGAGGGGTAGTTTTCCAGCCAGGTCTGGATTTAGCTAGAATAAAATAAATGTTGACCTAACCCACAATCTATAAAAATTCTAGTCCATCTAAGAACTCATCTTACTTTTCAATATTAGTTTCTGATAGCTTTCTTTGTTTTTCTTTTTCTCTGCCTTCTTTTCCAGTTTGCACATGTGTTGTGCACAAGCGTTGTCACCATCTCATTGTTACAGCTTGCACATGCCAGAATAATAGAAACAAGATGGATATGAAGGTAAAGTCACAGTTACACATTTGGAGTTCTGCATGTTGTTAATTCCGGATCAAAGGGATTACGGGAATGCTTTTGGAAAAGCTATGAATTCTTACTAAAGACAAATAATATAATGTATCATTCCTTAGATAATATACTTTATCTGATGACGTTTGAAGTGTCCATGTGCCTCTCTTTACATGGTACTTAGCTCTGCTGGTTTTGTGCAAAATTGATCTGCCAATGCAAGGACTTAGTAGAGGCATCAGCCAATCAGTGCTAATAAATACAATATAAAATTTATTTATTTATTATTTTTTCTATGTAGCAAATTTATACGGCCACCCATCTCACATAACGTGACTCTCGGTGGCATACAAACACAGCCACGATTAAAACAATGTAACCAAATGCAGAGAAAGATAATGTTCTGCTATCCCATTTTATTTATAGCTTTTAGACCCTACCATAATTGGTTAACTTAACTCAGTGTTAGAAGAAATTATTCAGCACCATAGGTTTTTCGATTTTATACTTGAGATTCTCTTAAATCCAAGAAGTCCTGTATTTCTCCCCTGTCTGTTTTTAAACACCATTTCTGTTTTGCAAAGAAGTGAGCAATCCTTATGTTTTGTGAGCATACTGTGTTCTTGTATCTGACCTCTTGATCTTGAAATGGAATAAAAGGTCTGAGAAGACATTGTACACTAGCTTCTCTCCTCATGCACTGAAAACAGTGGGGTATGACTTGGTCAGGAAGAACCTCAGACGATGAATACATTGGATATGGACCACCAAATTGAACACAGCCTCATTCCTCCTGATGTCTTTTTGGGCAACCAGGTTACCAGTCATAAGCCTAGTACATAGCTTAATCTGACCACCATGCCAAAATTTCAGAGCTCTCAAGCTTGCACACTGTAATGTTCTGCAAATTCTGGAAGGCAGAATTTCCAGAAAATCCCATATAATGAATGCCTTTCTCACATTCATGTAAGTTAGGAGCTATTGAAACAATATCCCACATTGTCAATCTTATCAAGATCAGCAACACAAATTTATCACACCTTCATTAACTTGATACCCAGGTCATAATGACTCTTTTTACCTCAATTACCTTTTAGCTGATCTCAGCAATACACTGTCTTATAATATCGCCAAGTTTTGTTCAATAGCCAGCAAGATTCACTGACAACATTTTGACTTGATTAAACCTGCTCCAAGTTCAGTAATAACAATGCCTGTTTATCTGTTCTACCTATATTTATTATGGTCTCTTGGTACTTACTACTAATAGCCTCAGCGTTCAAAGTAGTTTATTTGTATTAAGAAAATATCACCCATGCTGGCAAATGTTCATTTTATCTTTTTTATTTTATTTTGTTTTATTTATTTTATCTTTTAATCTTATATTATTTCTATGTCTTACATTATGTATGGCTGGTCAATGATTGCTGGCTGGGGAATTCTGGGAGTTGAAGTCCACACATCTTAAAGTTGTCAAGGTTGAGAAACATTGCTCTAAGGCAAACCTAGCCTGACTCTCCCTTTTCTTCCTTACCTGTCAAATGGGGGAAATACCTTTTGCCATCCAGCTCGCTTCAAGAACTGCAAACTGAAAAATAAGTATTAGTCAACCATTTTTTTTTTATCACTTATCCTCAACGTTTCTTCTTTTGCTGCTTTTTCTTCCTCAGATTTCTGAGCAAAGATTTGGAATCAATCTCCCGCACAAGTTCAGAATCCACAATTACAAAGTGCCAACCTTTTGTGATCATTGCGGCTCCCTCCTTTGGGGAATCCTGCGACAGGGGCTACAGTGTAAAAGTAAGGTGAAAGGCTGCACAAAGCCAAGACTTCTTCTCTGTGGAATTGGTTTAGTTTACCTGGCCTGAACTGGGGGGAGGCACACTTTTTGATGCATCACTAAAATAGACTGCATCCCCCCCCCATTTGCACAAACTTTGCATGTACTAGTTTTTTTACCTATAGTGCACAGTTGAAATATGACAACATGATTATGCACATTTGTATTTGTAACCCGCTTTGACTCGCTGTTCAATGTTTGGTAAGATTTTTTAAGAATAAAAAAGCTAATTAAAAAAGAAAAGAAATTCCTAAGATTTGGATATAAATGTAGTACATTTCATTTGGAGAAGATTAAGGAGAGAAACAAAATAGGCCTGCAGTATCAGAGGCTGCACTGCAGGTAGATCGTATCTGGCTCCTAATATTCTAGAGCACGAATAGGCAATGTTTCAGTTGTCAGGGTGTATGTTTTTTTCTTTTTTTAAAGTGGAGGTGGCCAAGCGCCCTATTTGTCTTTTTTTTTAATAATAACTTTATTAAACTTTAAAAACAGAAAGATAAAAGCTAATAAGAACTAATAATTGAGAAAAAGAAGAAAAGAGTGTAAAGAGAAAGAAGGAAAGCAGAAGTGCAGAAAAAGAAAAAAAAAACAGAAACAGAAATACAAAAAAAAGAATGACTTTTGACTTCTTTTACAGTAGATATAAGTAAAACGTACATTAAACTCTTACTCTAAGATTAGAACTTAACATCCATTTTTTCTATTATCTGTTAATTTTACTAATCATCAAATCGATATGTCATAATTTCATTTTTTTCTGTTTTCCACAAAAAGTCCAAAAGGGGCTTCCAGTTAGCATTAAAATTAGTCAGTGTCTTTTCTCTAATCAGAGCTGTCAGTGTTGCCATCTCAGCTTGCTCCAACAACTTTACCATCCATTCTTCCATTGTAGGCAATATCGAGTCTTTCCATCTTGCCAAGGGCCCTATTTGGCAGAGCAGTCAGAAGGTAGCAAACTGAAGTAGGGAGTGTTGGGGTATCAGAATATCTGGGGAGAGCTAGGTTTTCCCCACTGGTGTATGACACATAAATAAAAACATATATGCCATTTGGCTTTTATTTAATTTCCTCTCCCAGTACAGGAAGTTGCAGCTAACTTTTCTTAGCAACTTGCTGCCTAAAATTACTGATCAAATTGCTGGGGGCTCCGGGGACTGCCGAAATACTCTTGTTCTGGAGGGTGTAGAACAGTGATGGCGAACATTTTTGGATTGGTGTGTCAAAAATTCGGAAAATACCTAACTTGACTCTGCTGGCATGGCACCCCCCCCAACAAAAGAGAAACAATACTTTACGTATTCATTTATTTTAAAAAAAATACAGTCCAATCATGTGTGGTGCTATGTATTATATAAAGAAATGTCAGATAATTATAAAAGTGAAATATGAGTAAAACAAACTCAGTTTCTTTGGTAACTCAAACAGGGAGAATAGTGGTTGTCGGGTGTTGGTGAATGTGGGTGTGTCACCCAAAACGTTGTGGGATGTCACCTTTGACATGCTTGTTATAGGTTCGCCATCACTGGTGTAGAATAAGGATAGAAATGGCAAGGAAGCAGATGTCAACTTCACTTTATTTCCATATTGTGTTTAATTAAGGTATATATTGATTTGCATGTTAAGTATGAGCTGTTCAAGCATGGAACAGGACCAGGGGAGGTTATGGATGATGAACTCTGAGCGATATTGTACTTACCTCCTGCACTGCAGATTCAGCATTAAACAGGGAAGGTAAAATGGTATTCATCAAACTGGTCTGCAACATACGTCCTGTGTTCGGTTAACAATTGTTAAATAAAACACAGTTGTTTGGATTCATAATTGTTCATGATTGAACACCCTGCATGAACCTTGTCCTGTGATGCAAATGGAGAGAATAAGGATTGGATTTCTCTCATGCATTCCCACGCTACAAGTGTGAAAGAATCAGCATTTTGTTCTTGTTCCAGTGTCGGCTCCTGACAGAAATAATGTTTGTTTGCTTTTGTTTTCACTTTCAGTGTGTAAAATAAATGTACATATTCGATGTGAATCCAATGTAGCGCCGAACTGTGGGGTGAATGCAGCAGAACTGGCCAAGACATTGGCATGTATGGGACTGCAACCGGGAAATATATCTCCAAATGGGGTAAGAGCTTTGTTTCCCCTCCCCCTCTTCCCCACATCCACATATGTTTATGTCCTCAAGCAATATGTCACCACAAGCATTCTGTGTACAATTATTCATCAATTCATTACACCACCAAGGGGATATCAAACACCCTTGTCTTTACATGATTACTCTTTACTCATTATTTATTGCTGAGCTAAGCATTCACTAAGCATTCCCTGTATTCTCATGCAGGGTTTACTTCCATTATATACTACTCTTGTTGCATTCAGCAACCAACCTTCAACTCCACACCTGTGTAAAACTTTCTGTAATTCAAGTCAATTCAGTTTATTATGCTATTTCTCTAAATCAACAAACATACAATACATTTTCCATTCATTCCTGTTTTTTTCTTTCGAAAGAGTAGTTCTACTCTCTAAAGCATGGGTGGATGAATCCAGGTCTCTCTCAATATTTTGCACTACAATTCCCATTAGGGCAAGCCAGTTTGATGTCCAAAACTTCAGGTGGGTGCGTGCTTGCCTCCTCCTGTTCATGCCATGTCTGAAGTGTTAAACTTCCTGACAGTTTTCATTTCCAAACCGAGTTTCTGAACTTCACAGGCATTGAGAAAATCTGTGGTAGTGGCTTGCAAAAAGCAACCCATGACTATTTAATCTTTGCAGAAATTAGTGTCAAGATCAACACTGAGACGCCAGAAAAAGGACAGCACAAAGGATGGCAGTGGAGTGGTGGAAGTCTCAGCCAGTAGGCTTAAAATTGAAGATCTAATATTCATCAGAGTGCTGGGAAAAGGCAGTTTTGGAAAGGTAACTGTTTTTGTGGACATTTGAAGTTTCCATACTGGTGTAACGTCTGGTCATTGAATTTCAAATTCATTCACGAATTTTCATGAAAAGAAGGCTTAGTTAGACAAGGCTGCATTCATATATTATGTTAATCTATAACCGTAGTTTGATTTTTGTCTTAACAAGTAGTGGCTTCTAAATTATTTCTTATGGCAGAAGTACAAAAAGTGAGTCCTGGCAGGATTTTTGTTTTGAACCATGACACCCACTGCTCAGCTCCTCCGCCTTCGTAAGAAATAGCATTACATAGTTGACTATAAGGACATAACATTCATTATGAGATACTACATCGGGTGCCTTTAAATCATGAACATGCTATCTGTTGTTTAAAGCTTCGGTAAACTTTAAATCAAAATGAACGATTTAAATACTTATTTACTTTTTTTTATACTTATTTATTTACATTTTATACTTATTTGTTCACATTGTTTTCAGGAATTTCTCAGTTGAGTCTTAGGCCTACTAGCTCTTCAAATGCAATCTCGACATGTCATTTGAAGGCTGATGTGGCCCTCAAGCCAAAGAAAGGTGCACACCCCTTGTTTCTAGCTTAGCATCATGTGCAGATTCAGCCAATGTGTCCCTTTATTCAGAGAGCCCCATCTAATGTAGCGTGACTTACTTCGGAACAAGTACATCTAGCACTGACCTGCTGGCAGTACAGCTTGTGCCTTGCTCTTTCTGAGATCCTTGTGTAATTATTTGTTTTGTTTTGCTTTAAACTAAAAATCCCGCTTTGTGGCAAATTTAGGTAATGCTGGCTAAAACAAAAGAGACAGGATATCTTTATGCCATCAAAGTGTTGAAGAAAGATGTAATTCTTCAAGATGATGACGTGGAATGTACTCTAACAGAGAAACGGATCCTGACTTTGGCAAGAAACCATCCATTCCTCACCCAGCTTTTCTGCTGTTTTCAGACTGCTGTAAGTATTCCTCACAACTTCAGCAGAGGCGAAGGCTTCTGGTGTTACCAACTGTAAATCATTGCCGCAATTCCCTTTTTTACTTTCTTAATGGTTTTTCTGTAGAAAGAAGAACGATTGAAGAAAATAGGAAGCTCACAAATGAAGGTCTATGAGTTCTCAGTGCAGTGAATAAGGCAAAGTAGTTGCACAGTGAGTCCTGTATGTTGAAAACATCAGCATGGTTAGAAAATAAAATACTTTCTGAAAAAAGAAGTATGTAAGACTTGTGATCTTGCAGTTTTTCTAGAATGAAAGTAGAATTACAGAATTGAAGAGTCTAGGGAGACCATCTAGTTCTTGTTTGATGCAAGAAATCCTGAGCTGGGATATCCCTGACAGACATCCACAGATTTTTAATAACATCTTTAATTCCAACTTTTTTACTTTTTCCCTTCTCATAAAAGTTTCTTCCCTGACAAATCAAAAAGATGGTAGTGCATCTCCATATCTACTCTGGCAACATTATTACAAGTCCTAAAAATATTATCCATAATCTCAGAGGACCTGCTGATCCTCCAGTGTGATATATGCCATCATCTATCAGGAATATGTAGAGATTGAACAAACTGGTCAGTCCTTACTCAGAAGAATAGAATGCTAACCTCTCTGCTGAGTCAAGCTCAACTCCTGTTGACAGCACATCCATGTTGTTTTCTTAGCAACAATACAAGAATGATCTGTTGTTGCCTTCTTACATGATGTTTTTTGACTTCCAGTCTAGTCTACAGGCCTGGGATATCTTGATGGTTTCCCATCCAAGCACTAACCAGGTCTGACCTGCTTAGCTTTTTTGACATCAGTTAATGTTGGCTAGATTTTGCCATTTTTCTGTAGCACTCAAAAGAATAGATGGACATGTATCTGACATCAGAAATGGTAATATCCAAGTGGGAATCCTTTCAACTTCCTGGGATGCAATGGTCAATGCCCTCAAGATAGCTCACTTTGAGCCAAGGGAGTACAAAGACTAATTTCGTAACTAAACAACCAATCTGGATTTTATTAGGATGTTTAACTGCATACAGGTAGTCCTCACTTAATGTCCACTCATTCAGCGACCATTCAAAATTATGACAGTGCTGAATGAGGAGACTTACGACCGGTCCTCATAGCTGCGGTCGCAGCATCCACGCAGTCATGTAATCATGATTCGGCGCTTGGCAACCAGCTCACAATTATGATGTTGCAGTGTCCTGTGGTCACATGATCACCATTTGCAACCTTCACTGCCAGCTTCTGACAAGCAAAGTCAATGGGGAAGCTGATAGGAGGTCACAAATAGCAATCATATGAATGCAGGACACTGTGATCACATGGGATTTGCCTAATGATGGCAACTGGGACTGCTGTAACTGCCGTTATAAGTCGGTGCAGTCATGTGACACTCTGCCTTATGACTGCATTGCTTAGTGATGGAGTTCCTGGTCCTAAATATCAATAAGAAAGGACTACCTGTATCTCCTGGATTAAGCACAGAACAAAGGTCTCTTATCACACACATTGTTAGTCTGTTTATATAAGCTTGTCTGTGTCCATGTAGCCAGTCACTACTTTGTTAATGGTTGCCACATTATAGAGAATTTTGTCTCTCACCTCATCTTTTACCGTTCTGTCCTTTTCCTTTGCTCATAAACCAGTGTATATAAGATATTCCTTCCTCAAAGCTAAACTCCATGAATCTGATCCATGAAACGTGCAATATAAAACTTTTTTGTTGGTCTTTAAATTGCCACTCAAATCTTCATGGTTTAAGTGAGGTTGACCACGAGGTGGCGGAAAGTGCAAGTGAAAAAGCTGAGCTTGCTGTCACGCGGCCTTTTTCATTGCGGAAGAGGTTCAGGGCAAAAACTCAGCAGTAGCTCTTTAATTCAATTTCACTTCTTTTCATGTTCCTGCCAAAGAGAGAGAATACTGACTGAGCCCCACTGCTTAATAGGTCTTCACAAGCCTTTCAGTTTCTTGCAGGAAAGGGAGGAAATCTCTTTTGGCCCTGGCTTTCCCTCGTGACATGTTATTCCTAGCACCAAGATGTCCTACTGACCAAGCCTAGGAAACTGACACAGAGGGTCCTAATGATGGCACTTCCTCCAAACTTGTTTTCAACTCTTCTGACCCCCCCCCTTTTTTTAAAAAATCTGCACAATGTAATTGGTTCTATAAAACTGGAAGCATAAGCTGCTAGGCGGATCTTGCTTCTGGGCCAATTATCAGAAAAAACAAAGGAGACCCACATATTTGCTTCAACTGTTTCAACTTATCGTTACTGCATTATGTTATTTCATCACACCCAAGTCCATAAATATGTAGGTATCTATGCGGTATTAGTATTGTTTTAATTCTTTATAATTTTTTTAAAAGATTACATACATGCAGGTAGCAGACGATAAACTTAGCACATCAACAGAATTTCGTAAAGTTTCATAGAATCAGAGTCAGAAGGGAACGTAGAGTCCTCTTTCCTGTTCCACTACAGCATCTTTTACTGGTCACTGCCTAGGCTCTGTTTGAAGAGCTCTAGTGAAGGAGAAGTCACCATTTCATGTGCTAGCTTGCTCCACTGGTTGATAACTCATTTTGTCAGGAAGTTCCTTATAATATCTTTGTAGTTTTAATCCACTGGTTCTGGTCCTACTCTGTGGGATAACAGAGAATAAGCCTTTTACTTCGGTGTGATACACTTTCAGATATTTAAAGCTTGGTCTTGTATTTCCCCTCAGTCATCACTTCTATAGCCTACACATACCCAGATCCTTTATCAAATCCTCATAGGACTTGGTTTCCAGACTCCTCACCTTGGTAGTCCTCCTCTGAACCTACTCAAATTTGTCACTGTCCTGTTTGAACTGTGGTTCCCAGAACTGGACACAGATGGGGTTTCACCAGGGGAGTATAGAATCACTTGGACTTCTCTGGATATTTGTGCCCAAACAGTCATATAATCAGCTCTTAAGCCACTTAAAGCTTTAAAAGCTAGCACCAAAATTGAATTGTATCTGGAGAAGAATTGGCAACCAATTCAGGTCCTTCAAAAAAGAGAAGAGTTACTCCTAGTACCATGCTCCATTTAGCCTAGTTGCCACATTATGTGTTAATTGAATCTTCTAGACATGCTTCAAGATACAACGAAATAGCCAAGGTTTAGCACAATGAACTTGTCTAATGTTGGTATAAACAAGAATAGGAGATGAGGCTAGAAAAACATTACTTTAAGTCTGTTCTACTATGCCTGCTGGTGATAAACTTAGCATATCAAAAGCACTTTCCCATTGGGTGTTTGAATGCACCAGAAAGTGTGTACATCTGGAATGGCAGGGCTCTGTTACAGTACACTTTGTGTATGTGTGTGTTTTAATGAACAAAGCTTTCAGGAACAAATTGTGGTACAGCTCTGCACTATTGACTGGAGAAGTATGCCAGGGGAATTAAAATTCAAGGGCTTAGATGGTTAACTGAAACTTCCCCCATAATCCTGAAAAGTGTTATTTCTAGAAATGGCCCTACTAAGTTTTTGATAACAGAGGTGCCCTCTAGGTGTGTTGGACTATAGCTCTTCCAGTGTCAGAATGCAATTGATGGTACTTCTACAGATCTCTCTGTGCGTGACTTCAAGCAGAACAACAGCTTCACAGAGGCAAAGACCCTGGAGGATTGTTTGTTTCTTTTATTATGTACAAGTATATTTACAGGAGGGGGGGGAACAGAACTATATACAGCAGTGTCTCCAAAACTTCCCAGTAGAAAGTCTTGCTTAGTACCAAATCACCCCTCATTGTCTTTCTCCCTCCCCCTTCAGCTTTTCACTGAGAGAGAGAGAGAGAGAGATAGGAAGGGAATTGGCTGATTTACTTTGTGTATGCTTAAAGGCTTTCTTCATGCTTTTTGGGACCTCTACATTGATGTTACACGATGCAACTCCCTCTGGGTCTTCTGCCCAGCCCTTCCTTGTCTGGGGTTTCCCTCAGGTATCCAGGGATCCCTCTCCAGGCAGCCACCTGCAACTGTCCCTATCTGCCTTGGGTTTTGGGTGAAGTGTTTCCCTCTGTCTCGGTCTTCACTCCCTTCTCCCAGGGAAGCCTCCAACTGAATCTTCACCTCTCTTCTCCCTCAGGGGTCAGGATACATTGGCTGCTCAGTCCAATGGCTCAGCATGCTCACAGCAAGGTCTCTCTCCAGCCACCAACTTTGTGCAAAGTTACCGCCCAGACACTTAGTGCCTCAATGTCTTAGAGCAGCAGGGTCTCAAACATGTCAATGGGTATCTCCATTTTTCTTCTCTTGCCCTCTCTTTATGGCTCAAACCGGCAGCATTTCCCCAAGCAACCAGGCCAGTGGGTTTCCCCCCAGGGCTTTAGAACCCCAACCCCTATACACTGAGTTTGGCCGATCAGAATGCCGCTCCCATCTGCCCCACGACAGTCCTGGCTAGTAGACAGGGCAGCTACATCTGCATCTGTAACAGCACAGCTCCGCTTCAAGGCCATCCCTGAGCTGCTTCTCCCCATTTTTTTCCTTCTGCTGCCTCATGCCAGCTCAGCAGTAGCCTGCTTGTCCACAAAATTCATATGACACATCCAGCTAGTATGGGGTTTGAGGTTCAACATTTCTGGGCCCTGCCTCAAACAATGAAAAGAGATATGCCTTTGAAACAAAGATAATCCAGGAACTCCAGATGAGGCAGCTGATAAGGAGAATCATTTGACTCCTTCAGGTTGCTTTCTCAGGCACATGGGTGCCAACGAAGACTCCCATGTAAAAGTTCAAACTGCACCATCAAGAACTCAGAAGGAAATCTGGCTATCCCCAGGATTATGGAAGACACCATCTTGCTAAATGGCCATATTTATGCTTTATCAATTTGATTTATATCCCACCTTTCCTCTAGGAGCTTAAGATAGGATATATGGTATTGTCTCCCTCAATTTTTCCCACAACAACAACCCTCTGAAGTGAATTGGGCTGTGAGCTTCCATGGCTGAGGATGGACTTAAATCTGGGTGTCCCCGGTGCCAGTCCAACTTTAACCACTACACCACATTGGGAAAATGGGTGGTACTTATTACGGGTTGGTACGACAATTTCTAGTTTGATTCCCAAGACCATGCCCAAGCCAAGCTTTTGAGTTTCTTTGG